AAATTCGGTGATCAGAAATTAGATGAAATATTTCCCTCCAATAAAGCAGGAACAACAGGACGTGGACTGACCATGCTTACGTTGTGAGACAAACTAATAATGAATGAATTCAGCTACTGTTGCAGCCCTAATTAATTACACATATGTTCAGTTTGCATTGTTATACAACACAGAAAGAAATCCCCGAAAACTGTGACAACTGAAACGCAACAGGAATAAAACTGCTTTTATATAAACTGTGAATTTAGTTGACATCCTGATAACCAAATTGAACTTTGAACTTCTTTCCTCCTCATGCTCGCTCATTCAGAGATGTGATCTATAAGTTGGCAACAACCAGCTGATGTTTTCTTCCAGCATACGTGAAACCTGCGGTAGAGATTTTGGTGAAAAGTTTAGCAACTTGTTTAACTGCATTTGTTTCATCCTTGCTCACAGCACTTTTAGCACAGATAAAATCACCCTTCTTAACCCCACCCACTGACTAAACTCTGCTTGGTCATTATTGAACACACCACCCGACCTGCCTGAATCACATATCAAATTTGAGATGTGGGCGGTGGTTCACAGAGCTCTGGAACCACTTTGAGTTTGCAGTTTTCTCTTATTTCCAGCTTTTTCTTGCAATAAAACAAGAATGTAGCATTGCTGAAGAGTCAAACGGATCATTTTAACAAAGGGGAAGTCAGCATAGAGCAGCTTAATTAAATTAGATGAAACCATGAAAACGTCAAAAAGAGTAATCCACACTACCAATTTCCGAAATGTGTTTTCATTCATCTCCTTTGGTCTCAGTGTGTAGAGCTCTCAGGGCTGTGTGAAGGCAGTAGACTGCTGAGAACGCTCTGTGACTTAGCCGTGTCCTGTGTCCACAGGAAAGCCGACCTTTGGCTCCAGCTCCGAGTTTCTGCTACCTGCTGTCAGGCCAGGAGAGCTCAGTGGAGCCCACCGAGGATCAGACTGCTTCACTGCTTTACCTTCACCCTGCACAACGTACCTTACGAGACATACTGCAGGTGAACAGTTTCTCAGAGCACGCACACAGAAATCTTCAGCAGATTGAGATAAGTTATCTTCAGCAGATTGATTCGAACCTTCTCTTTTTCAGAGCGAGACGAAAACCTGCCGCTGCACTTTTATTGCCACTGTTTTATACAAGAGAATGCAGGTATTGTATCTTTATTGTCACGCCACAAAAAGAGCAATTTAATTGAACCTCTGTTAAAGAACAGAGCAAACACTCTGCCCTCTGGAGCGCCGCAGTCTTCCTGTTGAGATCATTTGAACTAACGTGCTGATAAGCTCTGACGTAGAGTTCATATCGCCCGGTCTATGACAGCCTGTGCGAGGCCTCGCTGTTCTTCACCATTGATTGGTGAAACCTTTAAACTTTGACCAAGATGAGATAACAGCTCAGATCAAAGTGGTGGACTTTGCCATGCACTCACCGCACTGAAACACAGATATTTAACTTTTTAGTGTTCTCGCACTCCTTCAGCAGCATTGTTTGTTGATTGATTCCTCTTTTCGTAGCTCTTTTCAGGCAATTCTTCTACAGAAGTGATAAATACCATCTGATTTCTGCTTTGTAAGCTATGTTGTGTCATGTTTCCTTTAATTGGCCTCTTTCTAGGTCATTTGGGTTTCCACGTAATTCCCTGCCTGTGTTCTTTATTGTCTTTGTCTCTGTTTCTTCTGCAGAACACTGATGTAGGCCAGGGTGAGGTTTGGTTGGTGCTCACCGACCCGAGTCTACAGGAGGAGCAGTCAGAGAGGCCGTGCAGGCGCACTGTGCCTCTGTGTGTGAACACTTCCTGTGTGCTCACTTCCTCCGTCCTCAAAACACTGAACTCTCCCGCTGTCTGTCGCCTGTCGTTCAGCGATGCCATCAAAGACCACGGTAGAGCTTTATGTAAACCATTCGAGCATTAACAGTGGCGTCATGTGTGCAAAAGTCACTCTGACAACGAGGGAAAGCAAAAGAGCTGCATTTAAAATTGTGTTCATGACTAAATCAAAACTGGGATCATCAGCTTAATAAACTTAGAGTGTTGTAGCACTGGTAGGTATAAAATAAAACGTCTATGGTTACAAATTTTCTGATATGTTACACTGTTAAACTGCTGTATGACTGTTTGAGGTGGTATTCAGTAGTTCCCAACCACATGGATGGACCCCAACAAAGGTCATACATCAAAGCAGCTGCTATACAAATACCTTTTTTAGGGCAGATGATGTTGATAACCTTTCATTTCAGACATATAAAACAACAATTTATACATATACACATCTAGACAGATGCCTGTTTATACAAGTACGCATACAGATGTTTACACATATGTGCTCAAACAAAATCTAAATAACCAATCATCAAGTTTGAAATAGAAAAGGAAGAAGTATGTTCATGGTTATTAATCCCTGAGGTCTGAGAAAAATGGCAGGAGGCGGGGCTTAATATACTAAGATTTTGATTTGGAGTGACCAGGATGCATGGGAATAAAAATGACAACTCAGCTTGAGAAAAAAGTTGCTTGGAGAAGAGTTAGAGAAGCAGGGCTGAGATGGTTTGGACAGCTTTGTACAGATGGATATATTGGATAAAGGATGTTGAGGATGGAGGTGCCAGGAAGCCAGTAGGTGCCTACTGCAGGGCACAGCCATCAGGCCTAATGACTGCAAACATGAGTTTGGTCTGAGGACCTGAGCGCTGTGAATAAAGCAGTGGATAAATAGAAAGGTTAAAGCAGGTGAGAAGTTTAGAGGTGAAATGTTTCTGGTGAAACTGATAACAGCACACAGACATTTGAAGCTTTAACTAGGAAAGTGTAAGTACCTCAAAATTGTAGTTTGAGGATTTTGTTTTAAATTTCAATCAGGCACAGTTCCCATCACTGTGGTTGTTGTAGCTCTGTACTTATTTTTGCACTCTCCTTCTCTTGTGTGGGAAAAGTTGCACAAACAGTTGTATGCCGTTACAAAAAGTGTGAGCTTCCTGAATCTTTCCAGATGTTTTTATGATTTTTTTTGTTATTTTTTTCTTTTTTTATTGGACAACTTGTTGGCTGACTTAATGTCTATCAGTTCATCTGCACACACTGGTTTGTTTTCATGTGCGAGGCAGTGTTGTTGGAAACAGCTTAAAGTAACGGTCACACAAGCACACGCCTCTTTTAACTGCAGAGATACTCGAGTAGAGCCCAAGAATAAAAATATGGAAATGATTCCTTACATACTATTTATCCTAGTGGCAGATTCGTAGGATCAAAATACAGGTGAATTTCACACATTGTTGATCTCTCAGCAGCGGATGTGCACAAGCTCACCTTTCTGAAAGCATCTGAATGTAGTGGTCACTCTGGAACAAACAGATGCTCTGTGTTTATGTTCAATCAGACATTAAAAAATACATTTTATTATTGTAAAAGTCACATTTGTTGGAAAGCTCCGGAGGGCTCAGAGTAGTTGCTCCCAGAGGGAGTCCTTGTTTCCAGAAATTTAGCCAATGTCAGCATGATTCACAGCTGGTATGGGAAATGTGACGAGATGAGGCTGCCGGGGTTTGAGCTGCAAGAATTATACTAAAAAAAAGTGTTTTTCTTCATTTTTTTTT